AGGGTGGCCAAAGCAAAGCAGGCTATCGGCTGTGGAAGCCCCTAAGCCCACCTGCCATAGACATTTTGACGGCCTTGAGCCGTGCTTTCCACCTTTAAGGGATTAAATAGGTTTAGGGTTCAGGGTTCAGGGTTCAGGGTTCAGGGTTTCGCTGAGGCACAAACCCCTACGGCTGGACAAAGTTCATGATTGAGCAGGTGCTCGTCTTGCTCGCTGTGAAACCACATCGGAACCCGCATCTTGAAAAACCCTACCCTAACCGTAAACCCTAAACCCTAAACCCTAAACCCTAAACCCTAAACCCTAAACCCTAAACCCTAAACCCTAAACCCTAAACCCTAAACCCTAAACCCTAAACCCTAAACCCTAAACCCTACAAAGCCCTCACCCTCAAGCCCCAAACCCTTGGACCTGACGACAGATCCTCCGAGACTTTGCCGTGGCCAATCCTACCTTTCCAGCCTCTTAACTCAAGGATGATTGATTTGGGGGTGTAGGGTTTAGGGGTTTAGGGGTTTAGGGGTTTAGGGGTTTAGGGTTTTAGGGTTTTAGGGTTTTAGGGGTTTAGGATCCCCTTGTAATAAGGACCCCAGTAAGGTATCCCTAATATCGTAACCCCCCATCATATTGAAACAGTGCGGTTTAATTAGGGTTTCGACTTTGGGCCTGCGTTGAGGGTTCGGGTTTAGGGTTTAGGGTTTAGGGTGTAGGGTGTAGGGTGTAGGGTTTCGGGTTTCGGGTTTAGGGTTTAGGGTTTAGGGTGAAGGTGCAGGGGTCCGCTGAACCAAGATGCTCGAACCCCACTCAAACCACACGATTTTCCCGAGATCTCCATCCTGCGCTATTTCAACCCCGTGGGAGCACACCCGCCGTGTTTGGGGTTTGGGCTTGTTGGAGTGAGGAGTGAGTGAGTGGACGGCCTGGGGTGCACTCCGGCCAACGGAAACGTTCCCTCCCGCCATCTCTTCCCCCCTCCGCTTGCGTCATTGGGGAGGTCCGGCAAGAGTTCGACGCTCCGAGCCCCTCAATTCGAGCTGGGAAAAACGCCACCCGAACCTCCATGGGCCCGCCCCCCCAAGCCGGGCGGCTTGGGTTGGATTTGGGCACTTAGGCAAGACAGCCCACTTCACAGGAACAGAAACTCTTCCCCTTGCGATCCCTCACAAAGGTACTAAGCTGGGGGCATTGGCTCGGAGACAGGGCTTGGGATGCGGGGTGGTCGTACCAAACACGCACACACGCACCGGCAGCAAGACTAAGGGAAAAAGCAAGTTCAGCTAATCCCC